TAAGGCAAGAATTGGGAAGAAAAGAACGCAGACTTTGCGTATTGATACTATAGATAAAGGGTCTTTTAGATGGAGAGGGGCTGATTTTTTAGTATTCAACACTGCACATTGGTGGAGCCATTCGAAGACAAAGGCCGGGTGAGCCTCATTTTTCAAACTGAAGGCAATAATCAATCTTAGCAGCATATCAACTTAAGAAATGTGTGAATGTAAGAATTTGGAGCCTCAACAAGTCAAAATATCCCCTTAAGAATTTATCCGAACTCTCGTCTTTCTGAAGTAATTGTGTGGTGACGGTTTCGATTTATGTTTTATCGAGAATTCATCAATATAGTAAATTCTTGTCGAGTTACATACACACTTATGTACATATATGGTTTTTGAATTATTCGTATAGATCCATTCTTATCTCTTTGATTACAACAGGATTAACTACTATCAGGAAGGTGATAAAGTGTATCCTCGGCTCGATGTTACAGAGGCTTTCAGACGAGCTTTACTGACATGGGCATCATGGGTCGATAAGTACATCAATCCGCGTAAAACCCAGATTTTCTTTAGAAGTTCTTCACCTTCTCATTTCAGGTTTGCCTCAAGAGTCAAGACAGATCTAAAATCATCATGTTCTCTCTCCCTCTCTCTCTCTCTCTCTCTCTCTCTCTTTTTACTTTTCATTTACTTTTTTTCTTTCTCTTCTTTTATGACAGTGGAGGTCTCTGGAACAGCGGCGGCCATTGTAAGGAAGCTTTTCGACCGATTAACATGACATTTACCTCTAATTACCCAGAGAAGAATTTGATTGTGGAGAAGATTATAAGTCAAATGAAGACCCCAGTTACTTTTCTCAACATAACACGATTGTCGGATTATAGACCCGATGCTCATCCATCCATCTATGGAAGAAAATCCGTAAAACCGAGCATTCAAGATTGCAGCCATTGGTGCCTTCCGGGTGTTCCAGATATCTGGAATGAGTTATTGTATTATCATTTACAATCAAGTACAAAGGCCAATTTTATAAAATTGTAACATTTTTTTTCCTGTTTTTTTTTTCTTATTCTTTCATTGATATGTTGTAAATACAATTCAAGTGCATCAAAATATATGAGTTCTCAGGCATATGTGTGTATATATACATATTAGCAGGCTGCTTTTAATCCATTTATTTACTTTGTACAAATGTCTTGACACAATTGTTGCCAGTCTTATTGAGTTACAAACCAGAAAATACAAAACACAACAAGAAGATATATAAAAATATGTAGTTTCATCTAACTTTATGCGTCTAAAAGACTCCCTATAATTACTTGTAACAACAAAGAATGAACAGCCATCAAGATAATGGTGGCTCTCAAGTCTCAACCCGATTGATGTTTTTTCGCTCGGCCTTGGGAAAAGGTCATATCGTCTCTCTTAGAGCCCTCGGGCTTTCGGGCCCATGAGGGCGCTTGGTCGGGCCCATAACGATAGTCATAGAAAAGCTCCTCACCAGCTTCAATACGCTCGTTGGCATATATGCCGACACGGTGATCACCAGCCACCAACATAACCTGCATTTAATTTATAAATCAATATCATGTATTGGACTTTATTGAAGTTGCTTAGAAATAAGTTAAAAACGAGAAATTTGTCATCGACGAAAATGGGTAATTTTGATTGGTACTTTTGCGTAACAGTTTGGAGTTGACGAGTGGTTTGCAAATTTCAACTTGTCTCCCTTGCGGCATGCATCAAGGACATACTGAAAACCAACCCGAAAATACTTTTGAGAATATCGTCTATGGAGAAAAATGAAAGAAAGAAGAAACTAAGGAAACCTTGATATTCAAAAATGAAATTAAAAAAAAAAAAAAAGAATCACTTGCCTTGTCATTCAAGTCGAAGAGGAATGACGAATTAGCACGATCATAGATTTTACCACGCTTATCAGCTTCTCGGTGGGAGATTAATTCACCAGTATATTCTCCAAGGTACTCATTTTTGTTGACAGTGTTCTGAAGTTAAAATCACTCTTATTCATCAATCACAATTCACAATTCATTAATTATACGAATCTATTTTGTACCTTGAGAAATGCTCCCCAACCAGCAACATCCGACTTTGCCAAGAGGATCTATCCAAGAGGGAAACAAAGATAATGTTTCTAAGTTTGTATCAGATGATAAAGACAAATGGATTAGAAGAAAAAAACAACACACACACACACACACACACACACACACACATATATATATATATATATATAT